CAGGCGGGGCCCCCCCCCCCGGGGGGAAACTGGGGCACGGGGCGGGGGGGCGCTGAGCGCTGCGGGAGTGGCCACAAACCCGGGCCCGGGCCCCGCGGCCTCGTCCCCCAGTCCCCGCATCCCACGAGTCCGGGTCCCCCGCGCCCCGCCGACCTGCGCGCGGGCCCGCGCCGCTCCTCCGCCCGCCGACAGGCGCCGAGAGGGAGGGAGGTGCCTACGCCTTTAAGGAGCCCGGCGCCGACCCCAGCCTTGCCGCTGCGCCGCGGACACGCGGGAGAGCGGGCCGCAGCGCCGCTTCCGCAGCGCCGGCACGGGAAGGGGCGGGGCCTCGGATAAGCCACGCCCCTCGAGCGGAGCTTGCGTGTGCAGCGCCTGGCGGGGCTTGCACACGAGCGTGTCCCGGTCGGAGTCACACGCATGCACGCTCAGTGTACCAGACAGAGGGATGCGCACGCCTGCGCCGCACACAGACACACCACGGCCTGCCGGAGAGGGAGGGATTCGTGTGGGCCCTACTGCGCGGGAAGGCGGCTGGCCCGCTCCCGAGGGGAAGGCCGGGTGCTCGGAGGTAGCAGGGGGCGCCAAGTCCCGCCTGACCACGGAAGAGGGCTCTGCCTGGCCTGCTGAGCCACTGCTTCATAGGTGCCCGGCTCAGGGACAGCCCCTGGCGAGCCCTTTGCTCAGCACCCGATGAGGCAGCAAAACCAAGCCCCTGTGATCTGCCTGTAAGGTCCCAAGAGCCTACGCATGCCGTCCCCGCCTGAGGGCCATGTCAGGAAGTCTCATCTGGTTTCCCCTGTGCACTGTCCACCCAACTCCGGCCTGTTTGTTGTGCCATTGTAATGGTAGGCCTAGGCCTGCTCAGGAGACAAAAGAAGACAAAACCTCTAGCAAAACCTGTAGTCAAAAAGACCACGAGTCAGAACGTTTCTGACACTTATAGATTCCTATTTGAAATCTCTGAGTTTACCTTGTGAATTGCATGCAAATGTTTGCACACCTAACAATGCTAATATTGTGCAGCATCCCACTGCACCCTTCATAGGATCTCATGACACCCAAGGATGTTGCAGCTCCCTGGTTGAGAATCATTGCCACAGTGTAAGGAGCTGGGGAACAGCACCAGAAGCTGTAGGAGCAGGGAGGTGAGTTGCTAATGCTTGGGTTTCCAGAGAAGTGTGGTAACTGAGGGTTTAGTGGCTATGGGGATGGGGTGCTCATGGTGGGTGGGGTAGCGTGTCAGAGATAGGCTAAAGTGGGTGGCATGTTTCCAAGGTGGGGTGCTAGGCTGCTGGGATAACATGATGCCCCATCTTTTAGATGGCTCCCCTTACTACTTCTGCAGAGTTTACATTTCTTATTACTGACCAAGGTCTCATATTCCTACTCCAAAAGGGAGGCAAATCTTATTTTCCAAATACAGTAACTGAGAGGCTGCACTTCAGACAAGTTCTCAAGATGACCAACCAGAGTCTCGCTAGTCAGTCCCTACCTTTCAGAGTGAACATGCTGACTGTGTGAGTCCAGCCAGTAACCACTGAATGGCAGTCTTGTTTCCTTCTTAAGTTATTGCAGGGAGTTTGGAATTACTGAACCAATTTTGCATCGCAAAGCATATTAAGAAGTGAATGTGGACATTATGCCAATACATGATCAGTACAGCAAGGTGCAGACCGGGTTTGATGAATTCTGAAAACAACATGCGGGAGATTTTGCTGGCTGATTCCAAGTGAAGGATCCTGTGAGAGCTCTCATGTGATCTCAGCTTTGAAGGTTAACTTTGTTCCCTGATGGAACAACAGTAGCCCTTGCAAGCACAGGTGACTGGTAGGTGAGGACACAGGGGGGCACATGCCCCCCCCCCCCAAGATTGGCCCCCCCCCCACGACCGCC